TGTAGTAGGTCAGTAGGTAATACATTTTTAAAGTCTTATAGTTCCCAATGCTTTTAAGGTTAGTTTATCAGTGACAAACCCAAAGCTTACCTAGGTAGAATATGCGTGAAAATTGTAAGTCGCAAAGTTGTGTTACAATCTACAAGATTTCTATAGTAAAAGCTTTATAAAAAATAACTTAATTAAATAGCACTTCTTTTATGTACCCGTCCAGTTTGTAACAACAAAGCTACAGGTGGAATCCACAAGTTGATACTCACGTACTTAAGAAAGCTTTGAAAAGGAAAGCTTAAAAATAAAAAGCAAAAAGTTTACACAGAAAGACAAGCCGACATACCAGATAAGTCCAGACAATTACGTCTTTCATGACAATTCTTTAAGGTCGGAAGTCAAACGATTTTAATGATACTACATACTAATAACAAGTGAAAGTATCTTCCCTTTCTGAGTTTTTAATCATTTATAAGACATGTGCTTTTTTCGATGCATAAATACTTAAGCCTTTTCTAAAATTATGCTAATTAAAAAAAACTAAACTTTGATAATTTACTATTTCATAAATAAATTACGTTTTTTTTTTATTTACGTTAGAACAATGATTTATAATTTTGGAGTCGGTGTTGGAAGATTTTAAACTTTCCTTGAGCTTGTCACTTGACAGCCTGGCATACTTTTACGATAGATCAAAGAACTTAGTTTGTTTGATTATAGAGCGAGAGACCACGCACACAGTCACAATTGTTTTAGTTTGAAAAAAATTGCATTGAAATTACCTAAACTTGACACGACACGCTAGATGTAAACGCTCTTAATTAATGTAACAATGAATGCAACGTATGCGCCCATTTGATTAGCGCGGCGTGGAATTCAGGCACGACAAAACATTTGGCCGCGGTTTTATTATATTACGAATGTGCCTTTGTCAGTCAGTTTGGGTATTTTTGTAGCGATATAGTCGCTCTGCTGAGTCGCGTTAGTAGCGCGTTGGCATCACTTCTGTAGTGCGTTGCAAATGCGACTAACGCGCGTTAGTAGCGATGCTGGCGCTCGTTTACGAAAGTCACCATGGGCGAGGGCCCATAATTATAACAAAAATTGCGTTGGACATTGAATCAACAAGATTCGAATTACATTACGTGAAAAACCTCTTGGAAGCACCATTAGAATTTATACACCGAACATCAACATTACAGTTGTGTTGCTATCTCAATCAAGGCAGAGTAAATACAAATGAGTAGGTCATCTTCATAGAAACGCCCGAGCGCGGTTTGTATGTGAGCGCACCTCACCGCTAATCCACGCTAAATTTTGTCAGTGTGTGCGTGCGCGCCGCATACGTATTGCCGCGCGCTCACATAAAAACCGCGCTCGGTGCGTTTTTATGAAGATGGCCTACTCACATTTATTTACTCTGATCAAGGGCTCAGCGTCACGATCAGCCTCGAACGATATCCACATGTCTGATTACGAGCTAGTCAAAGCGAAAGTGCGTTCTTTGACTGACGAATTTTGATTACATCCTGCGATATGTAGCCAATGCCGAAACTCGTTATTTGGAGGAATTTGGTGATTCGGGAACACGTTAGTAGTAGCAGTAAACAAAACTATGTGACTTCATGGGTAGATCATTATAGGTACTTACATGAATATGGGTCATACATATTTATTTTATAATTTTACTTTATACATTATAATATATCGATGCAAAAGGACGCCTTTGTAATTTCCATATCGGATGCATAAAATTGTTTGTGTAAATAACATAAAAAAATAAAAGCTGTTATTGCCAATTTCCTGTTGTAATATGATGTTCATTTTCAGTTACTACTATATGTATTTTAGTACCTTCTGTTTTTAAAACCAGCTTTCAAAGGATGGTATGATATAGATAGAGAGACATTTTCTTTATTTTTCTAATTACATTAAACGACAGCAGCACAGTTTCAAATAATATGTAGCGCCTATCAATACCTTTTGGCTAAAGATGTAGGGCAAACATGTATCAGAGGGCTAATTTAGGATATTTTATTTTATTTATTTATGTATACCAACAACAAAACATGAATAAAAAAACAAATGCCTAGGCTATTCGATAAAATATGTCGATTACGGTGGGGCGCGTGAAGGATTCGAATCTCCAACCGCGGAGTCCGCCTCATTAGCCAATTCTTGTATTTCTTATCCAAATGATCTAAATCTAAAATAATTGTAATATAATAATTACAATAGAAGTGGGTATCAATCAAGCATCACTCAAATCACAGTATAAAATCACAAATTATGTATACGGACATGTTGATGGCATCAGCCTTATACAACACAACCACAACTATCTCCTTTACTAGGGCTGGATTTATCGGAGTAATTGGAATAAGTCAACAGTTTCCAATCTCCTTTTTATGCCGTTTGGCTTCATATACCTATTGGAACTCTAAGGGTGGATTCGACCAAACAAGAGTAAATAATAATTTCAGAATAAATCGTCAGTTTTGACATATTTCCCATACTGGAACTGTCAATGTGCCAGTTATACCAGGAGTTATTCTCGGATAAAAGTTTGATCGAATCGGGCTTTAATCAAATACCCTATTGTCACAGCACTAACAAGTTACTATATTGTCTTCATTCAGGGCCAAATATACGAGTACGTTTTTGTGGCACTCGCGTTTCTACGCCCCCTCGGTATTGCATCGCTTGTTTAGGAAAACGTTAAAATGTCCGACGCACAGCTTTGACCACAATATGCATAGATACAATGGCCGGGTAATAATACGTTTACAAAATCTTACAATATTAGGCACATTGAATAACTCTTCAGTTGCAAAAAGCTAGTTAGTGGTTGTCACTACAACAGAATAACAATATTCTAAAAACAAAAAAGCAAAATAATAGCTTCTTCAAGGAAAATTAGCACTATGATTTGGGTATATTTTATCTACTTGTGTTGTTATACTTAGGGTGGATTCGACCAAACAAGAGTAAATATTAATCTCAGAATAAATCGTCAGTTATTCGACATTTTGACATTTATTTCCCATACTGAAACTGTCAATGTGCCAGTTATACCAAGAGTTATTCTCGGATAAAAGTTTGGTCGACTCGGGCCTTAAACGAAAACGGCCAGGTACATAAGATAAAAAGACTTAAGCTTCAACCATACCAACGCGTGCAGATCGCCATCGCTGACGCGATCAAAAGCCAATGACAGGTCGCGCGACCCATGCCAGTTCACGCGACCTGTCATTTCCCTATGATCGCGTCATATACCTAGATTTGGTCATTGGCAACTAATCCTACTTAATGCATCATTTCTATCCAAAGGACACGCTAATGTACTCGTAATATTTGTTTAGCTAAAAAGTATTAATTTTCCATTCATTTGATAATTAACATTGATTTGCTAATTCTCATAGCTACTTACTACGCTATGGAAAAGCACTTCCATACGTCTGAGATCGTAGTGCTATACAGTTTTCTTGATTAATATTATAAAGGAGGAAAGATTTGATTGTTTCTTTGCATTGAATAGGTTCTAGAACTATGGTATCAATTAGAAAAAAATCCTTCAATAATAAAAAGTTAGGGATCCGTATGAAAAGTTCGATAGTTTCATGTAAATAAATTAGGTCTGCAATTGACAGCTCATGTTCCACATTAATAATAGACTGGGCGGTACGAATTCATCGGGCAAACTAGTTTAAGATCTTAGTTACTACCCGTTCGCGTTAAGTTTGCCGGTCCGTAGAATGTGCGTTCCCTCCCCAAACTGCGATTAAACGCAATTACTTAGTTAGTGATTAAAAGCAATTAACTGTCTTATTTTACGCAAATACACAAATTTTATCAATATAAATAAATAAAAAATATTTTTAATATAGTTTGCTATAGTTATAGACGCTTTTCTTTCGTCATATCGCTAGCGGCAAACTTATCGCGAACGGATAGTATATCAACCGTCGATGTTGTGATCTTAATACCCACACGATAATTGAAAATAAAAAATAATCTGGATAATTACCATGTTTTTTTAATTTTTATAACTTTACTTAGTTCAAAGCGAAAGATTGCCAACCTACCCACGTCGTTAGACTACAGTCACAACACAACTAAAGTATTCATTTGATACTTATCTGTTTCTATAGCTGAGATCGTAATTTGATTTGTTCAAACGCTTTCAAGAAGCCTCGCATTAGCAATCTACTTAAAAATACCAAAATAAAAGTTAATCGTGATAACATTCACTTTTATGTTTTCCGTAGGTAAGCTTTTGCGTCTAAGTCGTGTTAGTTACTCCACTTATAACTCAAGAACGGCTGAACCGATTTAGCTGAAAATTGTCAGGGAGGTAGTTTAGAGCCAGGAGAAGGACATAGGATACTTTTTATCCCGTTCGAAATAAAAAAAAGTCTGCTTATTTATTGCCATTAAGGCGGAACAAAGTTCGCCGGGTCAGCTAGTTAATCATAAATTGATATTCGTCTATTTCATTAGGATGCACCCTTATTGACGCATTTTTGAATGAATATCGAGATATTTATTCTCTTTTGTTTTCCAAAAACGTAGCTAACGTCAATTAGTATTTATTTTAAACTTCGTATTCCATGTAAAATTTATAATGTCTCAAAATATTTTTACCCTATCAGCGCTTTGAAACAAACATTGAGCAAGTGTTGAGAAGAAGCATCACCTGCCTGTTAAAAATATAAAGTAAAGTACATAATGTTACTGCCTAGCTAAGAAATATTATTGCTACAAGAGCAGTTCTGTGAATTTACTGTGCTTTCTTATAGGATAGGATAACATCCTTGTTAGTTGTTCATAGAATTATAGCTCCTATATTGTACCTAGTTACTTATCTTTTACCCAGAACCAAATTACTCCAAAGCAATTTTCCAACATACGTTAAATAACTGAATGTGCGTTGTGCACACAATGAAGCTTTTGCAAAGTCAGTCTTTCGAATGAAATGGATTTGTATTGTGTCCAGTTGCTGGTCAAAGACTTCATAAAAAGGTTACACAGGATTTTCCGTCCACGTTAGAGTTGTCGCGGCGGAACGCATATCTACTCGCAAATAAGTAAAAAATATTCTCAAATGCATGCACCATTGCACCCATGGCGCATGTAAAATTGTAAAAGGAAGGCACAATCGCACGTCGAGACCGTTTCGAAATGCCTTAATCGTGAAAGAATTTACGCCGATATCGTACCTACTCGTATACGTATGACTTTTCATCTTAACACCTACATATTAAAAAATATCAGCGTTTTGAACCTCACAAGGAAAAGTCTTAAGTTCTATTTTGTCAGACAAGTCTATTTAAAAAAAAAACATGTAATATGATGATGAAATTAATGGTTTATTTTGCTTAGTAGTACTTTATCTTCATTTTCAATTACTATTTTGAATTTACAGTTAGATAGTAAATGAGAGATGTGAATTTCAATCGTAAATTTAAAGTGTGTATAAAAATCCGCCAAAATTATTTCGAGGCAGAGTAGTTAAAGCACGGGCCGGATTCTCATAGCAGGTTTATACGTCCATCATTTATACATGAATGCAATCGACGATACCTCGATATTAAAAAACGAGCGCGATGTGGCGTCACGTATTCTTCGTGGTGTGAAATCTGTCTTTCATAATACAACCCTGCATACAGGGGGTTAAAAATGAAAAGTCGTTTATCTGGGTTAACCATATCTATTTTGTTTCTAGTCCTACATTATTAAATTTAAGTTAAACGTCTTCTGCGAATAATCGCACGTAAACTTGGCCAGGAAATGGCAACTATTCCATCCACATCCTGAATAAGCCACTCTGCCAGTCTGTTCACGCCTAAGCCACAGAACCTATTTCCGCAAATTATTGTGTTACAGATAAATTGGAAGAGCACGCATAGCAAACTCAACCTTAAAGGACGTAAAATAGGGATACAAAATTGAATCTAAAATTTTGTTTACAGTATGTTTGGTGACAACATTTTTTTGCTTTTTGCAATAAATATAGAAGTGACACGAGAGCGATAAAGGCTCTTAGTGGCCGAAAATACATTCGGGGGAAACCGCGGACGGAAGCAAGCACTTCATAAAGTAGCAAAAAATTAATTATGAATTTAGTAACGGTAACTGACGCAGCTTTCGTTGGAACTTTTTTTATGCTTTGACTAGAGTGCACTACCCTAATGGACGACAGACTTCAGGTAGGTAAGAAACCTAAAAAAGTACGCGCTAATTAATAAAAGGGCAAAGATAAGAAGTTTTGCATAAAAGATCACAGAGCACCTATAAATAATTGGTCTGAGGTATAAGCTTGTCTGGACCTATTCAAAGACCAGCTACTAAGTAGTAGCATCAATCAATTAGGAAAGTCTAAATTATTATGAAAAAAATAGCCAAGTGCGTGTCGTGCCACGCGAAGAGTAGGAATAATTATTCAGTTTAGACCACAAGTGGCACTTATGATGTGTGTAGTGATGTATGACTTAAACGACTATTACTCTTAAAAGAACTGATCTATCTTAATATGTTATAAGTTTCCTTGAAAGTTCATAAAAAGCACTATTAATTCATCCCCACTTTACATGTAGGGGAGCTACCCTAAAAAAAATTGTTTTCAAGATTTTATTCTACCACTTTTTCGGCGTGATTAATATACATATCTCCACAAAATTAAACTGCGGAAAATGGCGGAGAAAATACATGATTTAGCATGAATTATCATGAATAATATTAACTACTTATTTACCTCTCAGTGTCTTGAGGTAACTTAAAAAAGTACATTCTGTGTTTTTATTATTATTTAGGCAGTTAAATACTACACAGTATTTAGTACTTTATTTTCTTCCATCATACACAAGAATACGCGTGCGTGAGTCAATGTTCGCTCGTATGTGAGGCCTTGTCGAATAGTATCCTGTAGGTGGGCCATCGTGCGTGTTTTGTTTTCGATGTAGGGGAGACTGGCCCAAAGCGGGCACCTTAAGGTAAAGTAGGAAAAAAACACACAGAATATGCAAAATGGAATAAGTTTTTATCGTGATCAGTTACTACATTTATTGTAGTTTGACATGGCGTTTTCAAATCATTCATTTGTCTAATATATATAAAGTAGGCACTCAAATACGAAACACTATCACTTGCTCACTTTGCCCGAGGGGGTGGCCTAAAGCGAGCACCGGCACACGGGCAAAACGGGCATGCAGAGGGCAATAGTTTTTTTTATTTTTACTATATAATTTTGACCTTTGAATAATAAGGAATGTCTCTATTCAAACACAGAATGAGAATCATACTTTCTGTATTGCGAAAAAATAGATTCTAGACATAACAATTCATCAAACAACATAAAAATTAAAACATAAAACTAATCAGAAGGAATTCTCTTTGAATAATGCAGTCTTGAATCATTATCTTCTAGTATTTTGAAGCTTTTGAGCTAAAGTATTACAGCTTCACTTCAAGAACCTTGTTGTGATTTTCTTTTATATTTATTTACCATCTAAAAAGTCAAATAATAAGAGATTAATGTCGATACTAAAGTCTGTTTTTTTTGCTTGTCCAATATTGTAAACAATTTTAATATTCCTTTTTAACGAAATAATTCGTTTTAAAATAAGAAAAACACAAAGCTCACAACCTATTATGTAGGTAAGTCATCGTTGAACGCCGATATCTTTTCAAATCATTTAATTTATTATTTTTTTTCACTGATATTACTTTAAACGTTATAAAAAGATTGTTTACATTGTTCGACTAGCAAATAAAAACGGACTATACCTACACGATAAATATAGAGGACTAACAATAAAAGCAAGTTAGTTAATATGGCTATGAAGAGGGTAAAGTGAGCATGCTCATTTTGCCCTGCTCACTTTGCCTTTTGCGCCACACCACGTTTCATAAAACATAAACTATAATTCCTTTTTAATAATTTTCAAGGAAATATCCTTAAAACACGGTTAAGTAGGTGCAACACATTACGCATACATTGATAATAACGTACGTCACTCAGTTTAATCCAAAACACAACGAACATAATTACCTTTGTTTTTTCAAATAAAATTGACGAATTTCGTTTGTCGCTGTCCACGCGTGGTGTTGTCACTCGGAGGTGGCGTACACGACTTCCGCGGGAGCGGCGGGGCGGGGGGATAACGTTAACAAGACAAAACAACAAGTCGAACAAATGAGTATAAGTTTAGAGGGGGGTGCCCGCTTTAGGCGGAGTGCCCGCTTTGGGCCAGTCTCCCCTAAACTCGCGTAGATGAACAGGCCTGTCTCTAGTGCCAATAGTTTCCAAGCAAAACCTCGGACGGACTGCGGAACCCTATAAAGGCCAAAGGCGTCTGCATCGAGCTGTTAATCCGAGATTCGCTATTTTGATTCCGTCGACCGCTAGATTATTGTGGTAAGCGCTCGTCTACTAGCAAGTTAAAACTTACTTGAAGAGGTAAACGGGAACGTAGTTTTTACTTTGACGTTCTGTAACATTAATTCTCAAAATAAAATAAAAGGACTTGTGTCTGCTTTTTTGCTAAGCCTTTTGTTTGAGCTAACATTTAGCTGATAATTACTGGGAAAAACACCGCAACAAACTCAGTCAACGATGTCTGCCGGTCAAAAACAAAAATAACAGTTGCTGCGAGCACTTTATCGATTCAGAGGTTCTCTGAACCAACCGGATATAGATATGATGAGCTGTTCTCTGAATGAGGGCTATCGTTTTTATACTTAACAGTTGGCACCCCTGGCGATTGACAGGACCGTACTCTACAGTGGCGCCATCTTGATGAGTGCAAATGCGATAGTCCTCCTACCACTTTAGCGCTCACCAGTTGGTGCCACTGTCTTCGCTACTAGCAAGTGACAGGACCTTACTCTACAGTGGCGCTAACTGGTGAGCGCTAAAACGATAGCCCTCATACGGTCTTAGCTACAATTACCTAACATAACTCTTACCTAATACTACTTCAACAGATACACAATTATTATGAGGTTTACCTACCTTACATATTCCTTGAAATGTATTAGTATTATCGAACATGATCATCAGAAACCTGAAACCATTTCACCATCCAGGCAACCTACAGGAGGATTACATGTACACTATGTAGTACACATGTAAATACCTACCTACCTACAATTTTTTTTTAGTATCTTATTGGGCCATTCTTAAATTTGTGCCAAATTTAAAAAAAAAATTAAAGATTTTTTTTTTTACTTTTTGCGATGTGTATCGAAAGTATAAACCAAAAGCATACTTTTGATGTATATGGACAACCTTAAAGCCCTCGGAAAGGAAACAAAATAGCCTACGTAAACACGGCTGTGACACTGCATGACACGGATGTGACAGTTTTACATTTTTACTGTAAATAATAATATTTATGTTGTTAAATTTATATCATAATAGTTTAAATTGATTAACAATAAAATACACTAAATTCGTTTCATCAACAAAGGTGTTATTTGGTTTTTATTATTGGCACTATCTGATCATGCTTCCGATATGCTACCTACATGGTTTCGTTACGATAATATGCTTAACAAATTAGTAAATCTTAAACACAGTAGGTACCTAATTGAGTATCAAATGAGATTTCTGTAGGATTCACATAACAGTTGGTTTTGACAACTTAAACATGTTTCATAGTCACCGTACCACTAAAAATATGGTTAATAGCAATTCCTTTTAAAACAACTGCGACCATTTTTTGCGGCTCACTCACTACGTTCAGCCATTTGCAAATCTAATAAGATGACAATGTTACTGTTCTAAAAAAACTTAGCAAGGGATGTCAATATCAAAGATAGTTTTTTACCGAGTTACGCATATTTAAAGTGGCGCACGTGGTTATGACACAAAAACTGCTCACACAATGTTTGGTGTTCAAAATCAAAAATGGTAATTATTATTGATATAAATTTTTAACAGTCTTATATAACATGTATTAATCTTGCATAATTACTGTAATATTTATCAAAATAACATAACATCTCTTCCGAAAAAAA